GCTAACAGCATGGTCCTGTTAGCAGCATGGTACTGTTAGCAATGTGGTGCTGTTGGCAGTGTGGTCCTGTTAGCAGGGTGGTCTTGTTTGCAGCATGGTCCTGCTAGTAACATGGTCCTGTTAGCAGTGTGGACCTGTTAGCAGCATGATCCTGTTAACAGTGTGATCCTGTTAGCAGTGTGATCCTATTAGAGTGGTTTTGTTAGCAGCATGGTCCTGTTAGCAGCATGGTACTGTTAGCAATGTGGAGCTGTTGGCAGCGTGGTCCTGTTAGCAGAGTGGTCTTGTTTGCAGCATGGTCCTGCTAGTAACATGGTCAGTGTGGTTCTGTCACCAACATGGTCCTGTTAGCAGTGTCATCCTGTTAGCAGCATGGTACTTTTAGCAGTGTGGTTTTGTTAACAGCACGGTCCTGTTAGCAGCATGATCCTGTTAGTAGAGTGATTCTGTTAGCAGTGTGGTCCCGTCAGTAGCATGATCTTGTTAGCAGTGTGATCCTGTTAGCAGCATGACTTTGTTAGCAGTGTGGACCTGCTAGCAGCATGGTACTGTTAACAGTGTGGTCCTGTTAGCAGCATGATCCTAGTAGCAGTGGATTAATCAGATCTATCTCATACTCCACCACTGGTTTATGAGATATTTAACTAACAGACAAACTAATAAGCACAGGCAGTTGCATGATCACCTGTCTTTCATGGTGGCGAGTGTTAAAAAAAAAAGCCAAATATACAGCAGTGCTCCTGACATCTCTAATTTAAATAAAACAATTTATGTTCTTAAGGCACGACTCTCTAAATGACTTAACTGGTCCAGAGGACCAGATTTAACTTTTTTAGATTTTTCTACCTGGATTATTGAGCATGCATCAGGATAAATGACTTAACGTTATGACAGTGTTTAAATTACATCTATTAAAGCGTCTGTAGTTCACTTTAAATAAGTCTGTTAGCAGAAAAAATGACAAAACAAGCAAAATTTTGTGAAGTACCGGTAAATATTTGATATTATTGGAGCATGGAACAACAGTAGTTGATAATAAACTTTTTATTACGGTATTTTTTTCTTTTTTTTACAAAAAATACGTAAAATTTTACAAATAAAAAACAAATGAAAAGATTTACAATCATTTGGAAAAAAAAAATCACCCTGTCCATTCTGCTCAATATTATTTTTCATTTTTATTTTACTGACGAAAAATTAACATCAGGCAGTTGTCTGGGAATACACCAGTATGGCAGCAAACCACCGTTATCCTTGTCTGCTTGAAAACCAACCTCTAAAATCCAGTTGACTAAAGGTCAATTGCTTTCTACAGGTCAGCTTTTCACCGGTGAACGATGAAATATTAAAAGAGTCAAATGCTGAAATAAGCCAACTGAAGGGAACATGAAGGGCGAGGAAATGAAAAGTCAACAAAAATCATGAGTGCTTTATATATTTGTACTTCACCTATGAGAAACTTGTCTATTTTATGGTTATTTTAAGTGGCAAATAATGCGTCTTTTACACACAATAATAAATATTATTGCATTTATTTATTGTATGTCTAATAAATTAATTAATTAATGCGCTAAAGTAAAGGAGACTTACTTAGTGGAGCGTGGCACAACCATTTCTGCGAGTGTTTCGTACGTCTTCTGCCAGTCAGCGTAGTTTGTCCTGGTGAAGGGAGACGAACATTCTTTTACAGAAAACAGCCCATCTTTAAACATTAAATATTTAAACACCAACTAACATCAGCATGTAAAGTTCATAAAATAAAACGACTTATTTTGAACACATCTAAGATCAAAATGATTTTTGTGATAAAGTGTGAATTCCGAAATCCAAACCGCTTCAAAGCCACAGATGACGGGACAAATGATCATTTCTCCTGGCTGTTTATTGAACGCCACAGACTGTGTTGCAGGTTTTCTCACTTTGGGACGACCACCAGCATGGTAATCAGGTACTCCGAGTCCAGAACAAAGTCCTCTTTCTTTACGATGTCAGCTAGACTCCGGGTCAACAAACTTCCTCTAAAAGGAACACAGAGGTGACAAACTTTAATTACAGTTTGACTCTTAATTGTCCACAAAAAATAACTTTACGATTGAAACAGCTCTGCATTACTGATCCTGAGCACCTGCTCTCCAGAAGAAGAGAACTGCAGTTTCCATGTAAACCTCAAGCACATTTGAAGCAAGTTGTTCAAATTGTATTAACATAAAACAAGATTAGTATTAATTAGTTTAGAGTAAACTAGAAATTTCCTGGAGAAACTTTGACGGGGTCTGCCACGCTGCTGCCAATTTAAAATTTTGACAGGACCAGTTATCAGCTCAATATGGCAAAACATCAATAGTCATGTTTTCGTTTAAGCTTTGGTGGCCATCTTGGATTTTTTTATTTGGATTCAGTATGTGATGGGGAACATTTTCAGCTAAAACCTCACCAAATTTCAACACTACGTGGGTGAAAATAGCTGAGGTGAAACTGTTTAAATGTAGCTTTGTTGGCCATATTGGATATTTCATTTGGATTCAGTATGTGGATGGGAAACATTCTCAGCTATCACCACACAAAATTTTATCTCAATATTTTTTTATTTCAGCTCAATAGCTCAAAGAATGATGGAGTTATAGCAATTAGAAGCTGTTGAGTTCCATCAGGCGTTTTGAATTAGAAAAAATGGCTTCTTTGTTAGCAAATTACATCGCCACGGTAACTCGAAACGCCAAAAAAAGTAATTGCACACATCACGGTGCCGAGCTGGTCGTTTTCATATAATAATTGTGGGCAGACACATTGCGGTTTGAGATGCATTAAAGTTGACGGAAGAGTAAGATATAAAGTTAAGAAACCCTTTGTTAGGTGGATAATAATAGGTGCTGCCTTACTAGGCAGTCCCCAATAAACTGGGATGTGTCATAAATATTGGTATGAGCTACATCATTAATTACTTCTAAGGGAAAAATGAACTGAAGTCTGATGGGTGTTTGTTTAATATGTAAAGTAACCAGGAAATTGAAATAGAAAAGAGGTCTCTAAATGGAGATCTTCTTAAAAGAATACACTTTTGACCCACACCATCCTGCCACACTAACGTGTATTAAAAAAAAAATCATTAATGACTAAAACACAATTAAAATGACGTTTTCACATTTACTCACGCGTTCTTCCTCTCCAGATTCTGCAGGTTTCCCTTCAGATTGTTGTAGGCTGAAGCTCTGGCCTTCAGGTCGTTGTCTATCTGAGACACTTGCTACAAATCAAGTTGAAAAACCGTGAGTCCTACAATCGTTTCAAAGACAAACATTTTGACTCCCAGCAGTTAGGTTTCTCACAACGAGTAGCTTTAAAGGATGTGTTGGGGGGGGGGGGGGGGGGGGACTATCTGCTACTAACACACCATAATTTATATCAGCATATGTAAAGTATTTGTACAACTGTCTGAATATTTCAACATTTTTTGTGCTTTCTGTCGTCAGTTAGTTGTGGCGGCCATCTTGAACTGGGTTGACATCAAAAAGTAAGCATGTACATCCAATGATTACTTTCTGAAAGTTTCTCAATGTAATCTCAGTGTATTAATGTATATTTACAATCAGGTTTGTTGAGTAAAGTATGCAAAAAAGTGCTTGTTTACATTAAGAGTGGACCCACATTTCACAGCTGCATACCAATATAAACACAGAAAACTGCTGGAGTAAACTCCTTCAAATTTCACCATTTGATATAGTTTAGAATAACAGTTTTACATTTGATTTAATCATTTGTATGCCATGAGTTTATTTTAAATCTGTTTAGTAGCTCAAGAGATATTTAGGAAACAGGCATGAAAAAAATACTGCTCATTACCAAAAAGGATAAATGGTGTTGAATTAATACAATAGAAATGTCAATAACCAGATTAACGTGAAGATGAAATAATTTATGTCATTACCTTGGAAATGATCTCGGCAATGTTCTTCAGTGACTGTTTGATTGGATATTTAGCCATGTCCCACTGAAATCTGGTGATGTAGGTGACCAGGTCAACTGAAGCGGGAAACCAAATAAAAGACGTTAAATGCTTTCATTTCCGTGGGTTTGGAGTGCTGTGGTACCTCAGTTTAATGGTACTGATGATGGTGTTTACCTCCGTTGGCCAGAAGATTCTCCTGCACTTTGTCCCTGCTGTCCTCTAGAACATCTGCCATGTACTGAGCAACCTTCCTCACCACGCTGAGCATCGCGCAATAAGTGCAGTTAAAAAACAGAAACAGAGTTAGGCTTGACTAAAGCGGAACCTTATTTTATTGTAGAGCAAATGCTCAAACTCATAACAGCAGATCTTGCCTTTCCACAAAAGTGGACAGCTTGGCGAGCTCGTCCGACAGACCCACCAGCACGTCCAACGTTCCAACCTGTCGGAGACAAAACATGAAAACGTCGACGAAACAAACCAAAACAACTCCCGTCCATCCATCCATTTATCTTTATACGCGTCTTTCTTTTCAGGTCACGGGGGTCACTGGTGTCCATATCCAGCGGTGACTGTGCGAGAGGCGGGGGACATGTCTCCAGTCCATCACAGGGACACAGACAAATGAGATAACCATTCACTTTCTCACTCTCACCTCACCTACAGACAATTTAGAGTTACCAATCAGCCTAACATGCATGTTTTTGGTCTGTGGGAGGAAACCGGAGTACCCGGAGAAAACCCACGCATGCACAGAGAGAACATGCAAACTCCACCCAGAAAGACCCCCGGCCAGGATTCGATCCGGCATCCTTCTCGCTGAGAGGCAGCAGCTCTACCAACTGCACCACCCAACCAAACAACTAAATGTATGCACTTGTTAGTGGCTGTCCAGCAGCTGTTAGTGTCACCTTGAGGTCAGGGATGTTGAACTTGGTGTTGGTGGACAAGTTATTGGTGCGGGTGGTGGCCAGCACCATCTTGTCCCAGGTCTGCTGGCACGTCTTCTCCCCCGGAGCAGAGATCAACCAGAACTCTGTCATGGCTGCTGGCTGAATTTACTGAATGTCCACCAAACAGCTGATGCAGGGAAGTCACTGATGGTAGAAAAAAGGAAAGCAACATTTAGAATAGATAAGAAGGTTTTAGCATGAAATTTCAGCACTTTGCTACAGTTCATCTGGTATAATTGAGAATTATGTTATTGTTGTCTTTTAATTGTATTTATTAACTAAACACCATGTTTTTTCAGAGATAATTTGCCGTTTCATTCATTCCTGGTAATGAATACCTCATTTACATCTCTGGCGAATGAAATAAAATTAAACTTGGAGGGTGAACATCTGTATGACCTGCACCTCCTCAGTGAAACGTACAATAATCGTTTACATTGAAATGCTCTCATCTTTGTTTCAAATCTGCAATGACAAAAAGCTATTCAAAAAGCCTCTAGAGTCACCAAATCTCAGCCCAAGATGCAAATATGGGATGATATACATATGCTATGTTTCAAGCACTGCACTTAGTTTATAACACAAAAAGTAGGAAGGGTAATACAAATTACAATTTTGTTGTCTGACTGGGTGTTTCTAAATTTATAGGCTTTAGATTCAGTTTTATTATGAAGCTTCAGCGCATGACTTTTGTTTGAAACTGTAGATTTTTTTATATATATAACTAGATAAACACAAGTGTCCACGTGAAGAAATTGGTTTGTTACGATCTTGGTACCAAGCACTGAATTTATAATTTTCTTACTTTTCTTGACTTGTTAGTAGGAATAATGAGGATCTGCATTGATTATAAAAAGCTCAGAGAACTCCATTTGTCTGCTAGTTGTTTATGTTTTATTTGAGAGACAACTCAAACTTTAAACTTAGGCTCCAACAAATGCTGCTTGATTTTCCTGAAATAACAAACAGACTTTTTCAACAGCACTACAGACCATTAGATCATGTCTGTGATTACCTATATTCCAAATAGCAACTATTTTGATTTATCAGCAAATGTTATTTTTCATCTACCACCAGCAAAACGTAAAAATGGTACTAACAAGTTCATTTTCTGCAGTAACAAACAAGATCTTGGTGGTGAAAAAAGTTAATTTACTGGTTACTTAATTTAAGAATTAAAAGAAAAATGATTAATATTACTGCAACCACTGCAAACCAATACAAATTATGCCTACTTCTTTTTATAGATGAAAACTTTTCACATTGTTTAATATAAATTCAGGACAATAATTATCTCGAAACGTTACATTTTAAAACACTTTTAGCTTCCTATATTTAAAACCAGATATTTTAAATTTTAAATGGTTTAAAATTCTGAATGATAGCTATACTATGAATTCAAATTATGAACGTCTTCCTCCTCCTTTGACCTTGATTTTCCTTAAAATGAATGAACTTCCTCACAGAACTGGACAGTGATACAAGAGACGGACTGGTGACGGATGGTCATATGATCAGCTACAAGCTGTAAAAGGCTATCAAATAAAGATTTTTAACCTAATTAAAAGCGTGAACACCACATGACTCACAACCGTTGCTTTTATTTCTCAGAAAATTATTAATAGTGGAACTGGTGATAAAAATCAATGACGAGCAGCTAAACAAACCAGCCTCGTGAATAGCTAGCTTGTTGCTGACACTCGTCGTTCGTTGCAGCCTTACGACGCTGTCACGACACCGACATCGGAAACATTTTGTCCTTACCGATGTGTATGACAGCTTCAGGCTTTAGTCCACAATGTGTACTTCAGTAAAACACCAACAACTTCCCATATATGAGGCCGAAAATCGAAGGATTTAGACTCGGAGGTCCTCTAACGCAGCATCTCGTTCAATCAGCTGATCGAGCTCTGCGATTGCGCAGAAGCTCAGTGCGCACATCTGCTGTCACGTGATCAGAAAGAGCTAACAACAAACTCGGCTAGCAGAACACCTTGCTACTTTGATCTAAACGGTGATGTTATTTTAAAATAAAATGATAAAACATAGGATTATAGATATTGTAAAAATTATTAAATACATTTTAATCTCAATTTTTTCAAACCCTATAATTTAGTGAAAAGTGTACATACTAGAGAACAGCATGTAGGCTATTAAAACGGTGGCATAATTATATCCTGATGCATGCTCAATAATCCATCCATCCATTATCTTTTACCCGCTTCTTCCATTTTGGGTCACGGGGGTCGCTGGTGCCAATGTCCAGCAATCATTGTGTGAGGGGCGGGGTACACCCTGGACAGGTCTCCAGTCCATCACAGGGACACACTGAGACAAACATTCACTCTCTCACTCACACCTAGGGACAATTTAGCGTTACCAATCAGCCTAACATGCATGTTTTTGGTCTGTGGGAGGAAACCAGAGTACCTGGAGAAAACCCACGCTTGCACGGAGAGAACATGCAAAGGCCCCCGGACCGGGATTTGAACCAGGGACTTGCTCGCTGAGAGGCCTGCACAATAATCCAGGTAGAAAAATCTAATAGAGTTAAGTCAGGTCCTCTGGACGGATTCTTCTTTTTGAAACATTTCGTCTTTTATCCTAAACTTATTCAGTCTGAGGACTGCAATAAACTCCGTTATAATTAACACTTTCTCATAGTGGATCAACCAGTTTGGTGGTGACAGCCAAAACTCGTTCACATGCAAAAGGAGGACCATCAGCCTAACGACCAATCATTAGTGCCCTGAAGGCCACTTGCTATTCACAGAGGGCTGAATGATACTAGCAATAACATTGTAAGAGTGTAACAAGTGGACATGAAGGCCTCCACCCCAATTTAACGATGGACAGTTTCTCTGAACATCTGAAAGAGTGACCGCTGGCCTGGAGATGAGTGTAGACCGCAGAGTCCTGGCCTGATGATGTTGCTCTTCTGTGCTGGGCCATCCTTTTGGCCAGTAGCTGTTTTGTTTCCCCGATGTAAGACTGATCACAGCCCTCCTGACACTGAACAGCATACACAATATTACTCTGTTTGTGCCGGGGGACTGGATCTTTGGGATGAACCAGTCTTTGCCGTAATGTATTTTGGGGTTTAAAAGCCACTGGGACTTTATGTTTAGAAAATAAACGTCTCAGTTTCTCTGATACTCCCTCAACATATGGAATGACCACTGGTCTGGGTCTGGGTTCTTCCTTTTCACCTGTTGGCTGACTGGAGTCCTGTTTGGGTTTCTTCTCTGCTTTTAGGAAGGCCCAGTTAGGATATCCACATTGCTCTAGAGCCTGTTTTGTGTGGGATTTCTCCTTCTGCCTGGCTCCTGAGCTAGTGGGGATGCTGTCTGCTCTGTGATACAGAGTCCTGATGACTCCTAACTTGTGCTCCAAAGGGTGATGGGAGTCAAACTGCAAATACTGGTCTGTGTGGGTGGGTTTGCGGTACACCTCAGTTTGCAAATGTCCTCTATCAGAGACTGAGACCTCACAGTCCAAGAAAGCCAACTTGCCATTTTTTTCATCTTCTCGTGTGAACTTGATGTATTTATCCACAGAGTTGATGTGGTCAGTAAAATGTTGGACTTCCTGAGATTTGATTTTAACCCAGGTGTCGTCAACATACCTGAACCAATGACTTGGTGGTGTCCCTGAAAAGGACGTCAAGGCTCTCTTTTCTACCTCCTCCATGTACAGTTTGGCAACAATAGGAGAAACTGGAGACCCCATAGCACACCCATGTTTCTGCCTATAATATTGCTCCCCATATGTGAAGTAGGTTGACTGCAGGCACAGTTTCAAGAGTTGACACAGTTGTTCTGTGGAAAGCGTGGTCCTGCTGCTCAGAGTGGTGTCTGATTTTAATCTTAAACTGACCACCTCTACTGCATCATCAACAGGAATGCACGTAAAGAGTGATGTGACATCAAAAGAGACCATTGTTTCATCAGTCTCCATGATGACATCCCTCACCTTATCCACAAAGTCCATGGTGTTCTGTATGTGGTGTTCTGAGCTGCCAACTAAAGGGATGAGTACAGACGCCAGATATTTGGAAACTTTGTAAGTGACAGAGTTAATCATGCTAACAATAGGTCTTAAAGGTACACCTTGTTTGTGGATTTTAGGTAAACCATACAGACTAGGTGTGGCCTCCCCTGGGTACAGTCTGTGGTACAGAAAACGGTCAATAGCCTTGTCCTGCTCCAAATTTTTCAGGCAATCTATTAACTTCTTGTAGCCACTTCCTGGATCTCTGTTCAGTGGCTCGTAAGTGGTTAAGTCATTAAGGAGTGTCATAACTTTCTCATGATAGTCTTTCTTGTTCAAAATCACTGTGCACCTTTGTCTGCTGGAAGAATGATGATGTTTTTGTCCTTGCTAAGAGTGGTGAGTGCATCCCGCTCTTCTCCGCTGATGTTGTAAAGTGATGGTTTGGCATTGCTGAGACAGGCTGAAACTTTGTTCCTGAGCTGTTCTGCTTCTAACTGTTAAATTTTATTGTTGCTTATGGCTGATTCTGTGGCTGTGATCATCTCCACCAGAGGAATTCTTCTTGGTGCAACCGCAAATTTCAGTCCCCCGGCAAGGATCTCTGTCTCTGGCTGGGTGAGCTGTCTGTCCTACAAATTCTTCATGCACTTTTCTGTCTCCCTGGCGTGTGACGGTCTACTGGTGTGTTGTCCTCTATTGAATGTGTTCTTATTGGAAGTGGAAGAGGCTTGACGAGTTTTAATGCACCGTATTATATTACATTATAATTGTTTAGTGTGTATCTTAGATCCTTGTATACTGTTTCTTTTTTATACTCTATATTTTTGCTACTTTGGGGTGTAACTGGGACTTTGAGTACATTATTATGTTCCACCTCATGTACCACATGTTTAATTTACTGGTAAAGTTTAAGATTCTTTATTGTCATTCACATCACTTCTTTTGTTGTCGGGTCTTGGACTTGACATGCTGTGCGTGTCATCTGTGAAGTCCATCATTTGCTGAAATGTGGTCTGATCTAGGAGTGTTGACGACAAAACTAACAACACGCCTACATAGTTTTGCTTATGTCACCAAGGCATAGCCATAACAGACAATGCATAAAATACACAATTCACAATGCATAAAACACAACATAATGGATCCAATAAATATAAATAAACTAGTAAATAAATAATGTAAAAAATAAATAAATAAAATAAAAAATGATCTGCTTGGCCCGTTATTTACTTAAAAGAGAGTGCATAATAAAGTGCAAAAGAGAAAATATTTCTAAAATGTTGGATTATTTATGTATTTCCCTTTCAAACAGCTTTTTAACTTTCCTTTGGTTGTAACAGACAGTCAGAACAAATAAATTGTGTATAAAAAGTAATTAAGAGAAATTTTGGGCGAGCCTTCCAGAATTTTCTAGTTTTGTTACATAAAATGATAGAAAATTTTGTAGGGGGAGGACTTCCAGAATTTTCTAGTTTTATGTAACAAAATTAGAAAATTCTGGAAGGCTCGCCTCTCCAAGTGGAAACAGTATAAATATAAATTGTCAAAATAGTGGAATTAACCAACAAGTATGGTTTGAAAGCATAAAGGGAGCTACCAATCCATACCAAATACCTTATTTATTGGATTAATACGGTTTAGATAGCTCACAATACATTGACAATGACAACTTTTTAAAAATTTGTTCTCGTGTTTTCCTAAATCTAGCATTTTCTAGAGCACACGGGTCAAAGTCAAGGCCCATGGGCCAAATCTGGCTCTCGTTAACATTGTATCTGGCCTCCTAAGATATTTTAAATGTAATTTTTTTAAATTGTTTCTGAATTTGTGTAAAAAAACTACTACATACTTCATTTAGTGCATACCTCTCAGGATAGTTTGTAACTGAGTTTGACTCCCGTTAGAGGATATATGTGATCAGTATAAACAGATTTGTTCAACATATAGCGCTCTCCTGTGGTAAGTTCTCACTATAACATTAGTTGCTGCCTTTAGGAGTCAGTAAGATGTAGAAAATCATAAACAGCTTTGTTTTCTCAACGTTCATCTGTTTATAATTCAACAATTATTTTATTACTCTATTATACATAAAAACATTTCACTCCCTGTACTTGATGTGTTTCTTAATAGTTCAAAGAATAAACTGGTTCTGATCCCACGTGGTTTCACCTTGGTCTGTTTCTTTCTCTCATTGTTCAAAAGTTGACTTTAAAGTTTAGATTCAAACTGAAAGAATAAACCCAGAGTCTGACAGATTTTTAAGCTGGACTGTCTGATGTTTCTCTGCTTTTATTTAGTTTAGTTTTTTTGTTTTTTAGCAAAAGACGACATCTTGCTGTTACAAAAGTATGTCATGGAAAATCACCTAAATACTTTCCCATACAAACTGTGTCAGTAAAAGATATTTTAAGAGTTTAAGCTTGCGATATGTTGTCACTGCTTTTTATCGTCCAGACCATATTATTATTTTTAATCCATTGGGAGCATGTGAAATTGGTTATTTATACAGCTGTTTGTATTTCTGGCTGGAAATTACATTTTATTTTAGAGGACAGTAAAATCCTTTGATTAAACTCAGTGGAACTAAAGTAAAAAAACCCAGAGTTTTATTTTTCTCTTTATGAAACCTAATACGAATGTCACAGCACATTTTTTACATGTCCAAGTTGCCCCCAAGGTATTAGAAACCAGTTACAAATATACCAAAATTGCAAAACATTAATCATTAAGAAGAATACTTTCTCTTTTATTTGGATGTTTCTTATGCTCAAGTAATTTTTGTGGCTGAACAGCATGACTCAAAACGTCTACCAGTGTCATCTTGTCGGGTCAGATGGCTGTCTCCAAAATATTTGTGTTGGAGGACCTTCCTTGTTTAGAATCTTAGGACAGAGTGTTTTGTGCATGCACCATATATTGAAATGTCATAAAGCCAAGATAAGAACTTTATGGTTGCTACACAGAGTTTAATAAAACCAAAACAAACAAGGCGTATGATTAAAGCAGCTGCAGGCAGAGCATTTCTGCTTGTTAGTGTGTGTTCCACAGGACGTTAAAAAATAAATCTTAATTTTTTTTTATTCCAGTTAGATTATACCGTACACTAAATGGTTACACAACTTAATATACAACCAGTGGAATGAAATGAAGAAACTTTAAAGGATTATTCATAAAAAAAAGTGCATCCAGCTTTCAAACTTTAATCTTCCACATTCCAGGAGACACAGAGCAGCCAAACTTGAACAACAAAACCAACAACAATAACAACAATGCTGATGTTTGTATTTGTTGTGCCTACACTAACCAAAAGGTATGCACCAGTTGTGACGTGAGATTTTTAAATCCCATAATCAGCTGTTAGCGGCTTTCAGCCTATTTCCCATATTGTACCTTTTGAATGCTAAATATTAATAATAAAAATCTGGGTTCAGTCATATGTATTTATGTTAAGGTAAGTGTAGGTTCTTATTTTCACAGTATGTCAGTTGATGATAACATGCAACTGGAAATGAAGGCCTCTTTTTCAGTCTCCAACCCTCTTGGGAAAATTCCTGAAGGTGTTCAAAGCAGTCTAAGCAAGTTTAAACTAAAGGGTCTGTGCAAATTTGCATAACATTAACAGTTTGTCACAAATGGTACTCTCTGTACTCTTTTTGTTTCATGCAAAATAAAATAGGCTATAAGCAGGTTAAATCAGAAGTTGACTCATAATTAACGGATAAAGTGTTGAAAAAGTGCAAACTATTTATGAAATGTTGTTTGAAAATATTTTAAATAAAAAATGCGTACTGTCTTTATGTAGGCAAGTGCACACACCATTTATTTTTTTTGCTCCTAAAAAGAAATTGTTGAACTAAACAGCTGGGGCTTAGTCAGTCATTGATAATTTTATGTTGTGTGTTTGTAACTGTGTAAAGTGAGTTTTGCAAATATCAAAATCTAATTTATGCAGTGCACTGTGTCTTCTAGTAAAACACAAAACTGCTGCAGTTTTGGGGTTGTCTAACTGAGCGTCCTTCTATGGAAACTTTCTGATTATGTAACTTAAATAAACACTGTACGATATTCGGAAATACATATTTGGTATAATCTCAAAAATGCAAAGCGCTGATTGGTGAAACTGAATAATAGGCCCCGCCCACGTGTCGTTGACTACCTTTTGCACTTCCCCTGCTCTCTCAGTAGTTCTCCACCCACCAGCCGATATAGAGGACGCCACTCAACCGACGCGGGGTTCTCATTTAAACATATGGCAAAAACAGCCCTCTCTCTTTCTTTCGTCGTTGGGCCCACTACTCTTTAAAAATTCCGCCGAAAAAGAGAAGACGATTTTCCAAAACCTGTTGGCCGTTATCTCACGTAAGTACCACGAAATACTTCGGTTGATTCCAAGGATTCATCGAGCGGCGGACGTAACATGGCGGGCTGCTCTTTCTGTCGTCTTGCTCCACATGACAAACCTATTAGCCGAAGTCTGTTTTCGACATGTCATTTATATGAACTGGAAGCTGTTGATTATCTATAAAGCAACGTCAAACTAGTATTCATTCATAAATTATATTTTTGTTCAGCTTTGTTTGTGGGTTTTTACGAAAATATGGTGCTAGCACAAGTCTCGGTTGGAAAAGCAGTCGACTCGGCTCAGTGTTGGCGGCTTCTTTGCCAGCAGGAGGCTTTCTTTTACCACAATGTTTTTGTACCAGTGGCGTACAGCTTAAGTAGAGCTTAGCAATTATGTGTGAAATAATGTAACACTAATGAATTTCTGGGGTTTAGTTGTTCTGCTTTCGTGACGCATTTATATGTAATTTGTCAAGTTGTCGCTCGTTGTTTTTGCTCACAGCGCATGCGCGTGATTTAGTTACAGCGCTAACAGAAAGCCGGCAGTAATATTTTTGGTTGACATTAATTGCTTATTTATTGTGAACATGCACTGATATTACCTTCCATCAGCTTCATTTAGATTTATTTTAATTTGTATATAACAGAAGTACAGTGGACCTAAATAAACCAAAACGTTTTAGTGAATCTTCAGAACATGGAGACTTTGTACATGACATGCATCTTCGTTTTACAACATCTAATATCTATATATATATATATATATATATATATATATATATATATATATATATAAAATTTCCTCCATACTCTTTGTTTTTATCTAATCTATGTTTTTCTCTTTGTCCCAGGGCTCCCCTGTCTCTGCACAGGTGTATGAGCGCTACCCAGGGGGCCTAGGGGCGGCCCTTTACCGGGAGCACTTTGACTTCAACGCTGAGCCACCTTGGGATCCTAGCTGATAGCGGGACAGGTCCATCTCCTGACTTGTCCATGTTAGTGTCTTTTGTCTCCTCTAAACGCAAAGATAAAAATCCCCTTTCACATTAAACTGGGTCTTCATTAGAACTTTTAGGCTTGCTTGTTGTGAGTAACTAACTGCATGTGTGCTTAAAGTAACTTAACAGGGTGAAATTAATTTTTGTGTATCCTTTTTTTTTTTTTTAGTTTGTTGCATACCGGCAGGACCCCATTGGCTCAGTCGTGACCCCTTGACTTGTTTATTCGTTCTTTATGATTATCGGCTTAGTGGAATACGGTTAAGATGAAAGGACTCCCTGACAAACCCAACTACATAATTGAACTCCTGGAGGGAGGAGTTACCCTGGAAGATGTCATTGATGGGCACATTTGTGAACAGGCTCAGGTGCGTTCCGTTTTCAAACTCTCCTAAATTACAGTAAGATTTTTCAAACGATTAAAAGAAATAATTTGCACCTTTCACCTCTTGTTGTGTTTTGCAGGTGGAAAAGTGTGCGTTTGTGGTGGGTGACCTGGGTGCCGTGATGCACCAGCATGTGTGCTGGCAGAGCGTGGTGCCACAGCTGCAGCCCTACTACCCTGTCAGGTGCAACAGCAGCCCTGCAGTCATAGAGGTCCTGGCCTCTTTGGGCTTGGGCTTTGTTTGTGCCAGCAAGGTGAGCTTTCAGTTTCAGCAGAAACCAGTGCATGCTGCTTTTGCTTCATCCTCTTATAAAAGTTCTTGATTTTAGGACACTTATATCACAAGCTCTCAATTGATTTGTCAGCTGATATTATTTTTCAAGCTTTACACTTTTTGATTATTTATTATGGGGATTTTAGATTCAGTTCTGTGAATTTCTCTTAAGTTGCATCTCTGCTTCTCTTCAGGCTGAGTTGACCCTGGCCCTGGAGCATGGTGTGCCACCAGACAACATCATTCTGTCAGGTGTTTTCAAGCAGCTGGCTTTTATCAAGCATGCTGCCAAGAACAACATCCAGCATCTTGTGTGTGAAAATGAGCCAGAGTTGACCAAGATTGCTCGCTTACATCCTGATGCAAAGTAAATTAGAAATTACTCTGTAGTTTATTTTCAGTTTTGCCCATAATCAGTTTTGAGTTGCATTTTAAGTCGAGAATCTTGTAGTTACTCGTTTCTTAGCTGGTGCTTTACTTTATTATTTTTTAGGTTGCTGTTGCAGTTGACCACTGAGGCTCACGCAGCTGAGACCAGCGTGCCCTTTGGCTTTTCTCTGAAGAGCTGCAAACATTTGCTGGATACAGCCAAGGAGCTGGGTGTCCAGGTGGTAGGAGCAACCTTCCACATCCCTAGCTCCTGCCAAGACCTGCAACAGGCCTACACTCGTGCACTGTCAGATGCCCGCTGTGTATTTGATATGGGGGTTAGTTTTGTCTTGAAACTAAGTTTTTTGATTTAAAAAAAATAATGGTGCTGTTAAAGGTTTAACATTTAAATGTTAACTTGAGGATGTAACGACTGACTGTTTGGCATCTCTGTTCAGTTGGATCTGGGATTTAACATGCACATCCTGGACATCGGTGGTGGATTTACTGGCTCAGCGTTTCAGCTCAAACAGGTAAGCAATTACCAAGCTGCAATCAAAACTCAAAAATGATTGACTTGTTCTGTAAAGGCTTAACTCAAAGTATAAAGGCTAATGCACACAAATAATGTTTTACAAAAAGTTTAAATGTTACTAAAATAAGTCATGACTGTATTGTAGTAATCCAAACAGCGGCAGATTATTGAAGACTGAATTTTGTAGGCTGTAAAAAAAAATAATTTGCTGTTTGATCAGTTCTTTCTAGCATCACATTGAAAGTCAGAAACGTTATGTCGAGGAGTTTTCTGAGGCTTTAATCAGAATATATTTGCTCTGTGCAGGTTGAGTCTGCAGTCAGACCACTCCTGGATGCTTACTTCCCCCAGCGGTCGGGTGTGCAAGTGCTGGCCCAGCCGGGTGACTTTTACGTGGCTTCGGCTTTTACGCTGGCTGTCAATGTCATTGGCAAGAAGCTGGTGTCCTGCCACTGGGAAGACTTATCACAAGGTAAGAGACTTCAACTTTTGAGGTGGTAGTTTGCAGTTTGAACAATGTGGTCTATTTTTAACGTCTATACAAAATGTATAACCATAGGTGAGAAGAATGAGGACATGGAGTTCTTGTATTACATGAATGAGGGTGTTTATGGCTCATTCAACCACAAGCTGCTGGGAAACACCATCACTGCCCCATCAGTGCACAAGGTTAGTGGATTTTAACTCAAGAGATTCATTCAACCTTTATTTGTACATGTTAGTTTCACAAGGACTCGTTTTCAAGAGAGACCTGTAATCAACACTATTCTGAAGTGATGCCTGTGAAAGCAGCACTGGTTGAATAAAGGAAGGGGGTCAAGTAGTAATGAGCTTCTGAGGAAACGGACTCTAAATCCGATCAGAGTTTTAGATTGACCCATGAACGTGTTCTCTTCATAAAACTTTTCTTTCATAACTGTTTTCATTTAGTTTGGATTTCTGCTTAAAATGAAACTGTGTTTTGTTGCTTGAATCACAAAAAACATTTGTACAAACAAAACTGTTCCATAAAATATTTTGGATACATTAAGTTTTTTACAGTTGGGGCACATGGCAAGTTATGTAGAACCACTGGGTGTGTCTCTGTCCTCAGACAACCTTCTTTAAGTATTTTTGAATGTACAGAGCCAGTCACTGGGATTGAACGCACTTGCTAAATATAAAAAGTGGTGCGGGTAAACTTCTGACTGGTGGTAACATAGCATTATTTTCCTTTGAGCTAAAGTCCATTTTTAGCATGTGATTTTGTTTTGTGTACTTACAAACTTAAAATAGATTGACACGTACATGACACTTTTGTTATAAAACCTTTGCCTAAACCTTGCTCAGATTTTTTTACGTAGTTTGCCCTTAATGCGTATAGTAGGCAGAACCTGATCTTGTTTACAACCTCAATTAAGTTGATGTCATACACTGTGTAAATCCAGCAGATAACTGAATGATCTACACAATTATCTTCTGTAGGAGTAAACATTACCTCAAAGCAGAGTGTACACACCAACACACTTCCTTGTTTTCTTAAAGTGTTACCCTCTAGTAAACAAATTGCTTTTTGCACACAAGCTGACTAATGAAACACGTTTATTAATGTAAAGTATCTTCAGCTCTGTAGTGCTCCATTGTTTTGGATCCCTCTGCTAAATACCTTTCTGTTTTCACTTTGGATAAAAATTAGGACAGTGCATTAAAAGTCTCATTGGGGGTTGTAAATAAATAATGAGGCCCCTCATGTTATTGTGAAATTCTATTTTCACCACTGCACATCGTTTCCTTCAGCATTCAAATGGCTTGGTGGCACTTTATCAAGAGTCTGACTAACAGGGTAATTAAAAACTCCTACAAACTTGGCTAATGGTTTGTGCCATGTCATCTATTTTGACCTCTGGTGCCAATAAAATAACCGTTTGTGCAGAAGTAAACATGAGGCTGGGATTTCAATAAAAACTTTTATATACCACAGAGGTAAGCTGATAAAGATAATTATTTTGGTGTTGTATCTTATCTTAGAATCTCTGACTTCATATATGGCAATCTTCTATTTTTTGTATGTTTATAGAGTATAGTTTTACAGATGTGCTATTAATGCTTTGGTTTATTTGTGTTTTTGCAGCATGCGCTGTTCGTTGATGAGGCCGTGTATCCCAGCAGCCTGTGGGGCCCGTCACTCGACCAGCTGGACCAGGTGGTGGAGCGCTGCCTGCTGCCAGAGCTCAGTGTGGGAGACTGGCTTCTCTTCTCCAACATGGGGACATGCAGCCTGGAAGAGTTCAGCTGTCTCTCAAGCTCCAGTCAGCTGCCAGTCTACTACACCATCTCCACCTCTGACTGGTGAGTGGGGGCTCAATGGGCCTATTAAGGAAAAGAAAAAAAAAGAAGCTAATTTCAGAGATAAATGGTTGCCATGTTTGCTGTTACTCAGGTATGAGATGCAGGAGGCCGGAGTGGCACTGGACAGTGCCATGAAGAACTTCTCCCTGCTCCAGTACAGCGCATAGCTCTCCTTGGGCCCCCCCGTCCTGTTTCGTATTGCACAGATCTTTCTAACCTCTGCTTTCACTGTGTGAGAAGAGAGGTCGACGTGGTGTTTGGGATATAAGAGGCTAAATGTGGTTAACATTCCAGCCACCTCAGAAAATGCATCATCCTTTTTTCCTTCCAGAGTTGGACATTTCCCCCCCCCTACCTTTTAACAAGATAAACGGAGTTGGTTGTGTGACGCCTCATTCATCTAAAATTCACCTGGAAAATAAATTTGAATTTTTCTCTTCACTGAAAAAGGCCAAGCTCAGATGATATTATGCAACAAAATGGATGACTCTTTGGAGATGGGACCCCCAACGTGTTTGGGATGGTTTATTTCTTTAATCAAATTCAGTTTACAAAATGTGTAATTTAATCAGTAAAATCTAATGGTCTCTATTAATTACTTGTCAGTTGTGTAAACTCCAGTCCTTTTTTTGTTTGTATGTGGTTTTGTTTGTTTGAAAACTTCAATACTTTCTATGCTTTTTGTCTTTCAGACCCCATACTTTGCATAGTTCTAACTTGCTTTATTGCAGTCCACCTTTAATGTATTTGTATTTATTGGATTCAGATAATACTGTGGCATATGTAAAACTCCATCTTTAAATGTGTTTTGCCCAGTTGTTGCTCTGTGGCCCACCTATCAGTGTTTTTTCTAAGATATTTTATTTTTTTCCCTTTAAAACTACAAGATTAGGTGTGCCGTTATTACCATTGGTGACCTCAGTGGTTTCCCTTCTTTCAAAGGCAGAAATACTGTGAGATTAACTCCATGCTAATACAGAGGAGCTGCTTATTGAAACATGTCTTTCCTCTTAACAAAGAGAGGAGCAATCTGGTTTAAAATGTGCAAAATTTATAGATTTGGGAGGAAAATAAGAACAATATTTAACATAGCAGCTCTTAGCTTTCAGGTCTTGTTCAGTAAAGGTCTACACTTGCATTAAATTATCTTTAAAGCAAGCTGAGATTTAAGATTCTTGTCCTGGAGAGCTCAAACAAATTAACAAAAGTACATTTCTATATATTTAAAATAAAAATAAAAAAAACATTGCTAATTGTACACAGGCTTCTCGGAGGAAAACGCTTTCCCCGTGCCTCCAGAGATGCAAGTGGTGTAAAGCACAGCATCTTGTACAGCTTCGTGTTTGATAATGAGTTAACATGACAAAAAGCAGTTTTCAAAGAATCCTGCCCTTGTGTTTTACAAGTGACTAATGTATTAATTACTTGTCTAAGGCACTAATGGACCATAGCCTGTTTTTGACTGTAAATTGTGCTCGTTAAAGTAATGAAAGTGAATAATTTAATACATTTCTGACTGAAATATTTATCGTGTGTGTGTGTTCTTTGGGGTGCTGTGTAGATAAATTCTCCATGTTACAGGTGGTTTTCGCAGTAGGTTAACAGAGTTGTAAACTTATCGGTGTGGATTTAGTTTGGTTAATTTAATTAGAACAATTTTGAAGAGAGATTTTTGGCTGCTCTGGCTCTTTTTTGCAGCCATTTTCTGCTGTCAAAGGAAAATTAATGTTGGTTATTTAAATGAAGTAAAAGTTTTGTATAATCCCTCAATCCAAATTTATATTCACGGACTCGTACAAACAGCATCCATCCAGCAAACATTCACCATTATGATCATCCACACTGTATAGTAAACCGTTTATATTTTCCTCCAGAGTTTTGTAGTTTTTTTCATTTGGGGCCTTTATCATTATTCTGTTAACTCCAACATACACCAGGCATTAACATCAAATTAAAGGCCTAGTATTCCTTGAATGAATGCATATCACCTGCAGGCTTTAAAAAAAACATGTGCTAAGATCACATGTTGAAAATGGACAGTCGTAGCCGTTTAGGTCAAACCTTGGAAATGGGCTCGGACTGTGAAATGAATGACTACATCAAATTGTAGTTCAATATCTGATGAGTTTTAGCCATTTTTATGTTTTGTAAGATCAGTCTGCTGTGGTGGCTGTTGGATAAATAAATATATAATATAATAGATGGTCACGAGGAAGCTTTCACAGATGTACAAAAGTTACACGCTTGGAGCCTCGTCAGTGAGAATCTGCGTCAAACAGTGAGGCAGGAAGTGTTTTATAAAACGGGCGAGGTCAAGACGACCTCTGCTTTCCAGCTTACAGACCAGGAGAAGGCCTTGGAGTTATCAGGTGCTCCTCCGTACGCCTGCAGGCTCCTCTGAGCGGCCAAGTCTCTCTGACCACATAATTTAACATTGGTTCGTGATAAACATCCATAACCTTTACCTAAATTTCCCCGACAGTGGCCATGTTGAATCGATCTGACTAGTAAGTCGATTCAAGATTTACACGCAGTGATTACTATCACTGAAATCTGTCCTGGTGGTTTGTTTGATATCACGCTAATGGACACATTTACACACGTTTGGATTTCTACCCTAACTGGAAAATAAATATATAGACTTGTTGGTTTCTATAGCCTAAACCATTATCAGTGCATGCTTAACACTAACTTAAACTGTTAATACTTTAGCTCTAAACCCTGACCCACAAATGAGGTTCCTTTCCACCATATTCAAACGGCTTTGGTCCCCCTAAGGACTATCAGTCTTGACAAGGTAGGCAGTTGTAACAGGAAATGTCCTAAAAATGTGTCAAAAAATAAGGTATACACACCTGAACAAAAACATCTGCCTTCATCATTCAACAGTGGGCAATGAAAACTGAACACAGAAAAACATTTATCAGTGTTTTACCTGCTGTGAAAGAAATAAAAAAATCAGTTTTTATATAACTAATTTGAGCATAAAACACTTTCCACACATTTGCTTGTTTTTTTAAATTAATGGGTGATTTCAATTGGTTCTAAAGCAGTCAAGGGAATAGAAAACACATTTTCACACGTTTTTACAATGTAGGAGCCTTAATTTTCCTAAACACCAGGCACTTTGGTCAAAGTTGTTCTCATACAGCCTTCAGAAAGAACACCGATGTTCTTATTTTGTTAAGTTTACTCACTTTGTTTTCAAGACTGCTCTGGTGCCATGGCCACATCTGTTTCCCAACGATTTCAGAGCCCACCAGCCATAACTGGAGTGGTTCTGATTTGTTTACTAATAATTTTTATTTTTTATTTTATATAACTTTTATTCATACAGGTAGTCTCGCTGAATCATGAGGACTCGTTTTCAAGCGAGACCTATTTTAGACAGACAACACACACCACAATGAAAAGCAATTAAAATAAAAAGTGTTATAAAAACAATAAAATCATAGTGCCATAATCATCAAAACATACATTTTATTTAAATTCAGTTCTTATAGTATTTTTATTTTCTCTATCAAGGTTTGATGAAGCAAGGTACAAAAATATTCCGATATTGGATTCAAATGTTTATTTTCTTATTCCTCTTTTGCCTTTTATTATTTTTATAATTATGAAAATTTAATTGATAGTCCCATCATGCGTGTGGTTTTCTGTCTGTATTGACCCTATGGTACACTGGCAACCTGTCTGGGGTTTACATCTCTTTCGCTAATAATAGTTGGAAAAGGCTGCAATTAATTAGCATCAATATATTTCAGATGTTATGGAACTATGTGCACATTGAATTCATTTATTTTCTTTGGAGAAACTGGATTTATGATGAATCTAAGTCACCAAAGCACTTTATAAGAAATGACAACATCCCAAGGAAATGTCTGTCTATTGCATCTCATTGTGTTTCATCAAGCGAGTCATGTCTCAAGAGTTCCTTGGAGGTTATAACTGTGTCGACTGTGTTGCAAAAACAGAAAGATAAGTGTGATCACGCTGAGCTCTTGTTTGCTTTAAATTTTGATCAAACTGTATTTGTGGATCATAGAATGACAAATAATAACTCTAACAAAAAAAAGACCAACACTGCAAACATGTATACAAGAAAAAAGTTAATATAAACAAAAGTTATTTATCTCAGGAATTATGGTGTGTTATAATTTGTTCACTATGAAGGAATTAAGACTGGATTGTTCAATGTAACTGGCAGACCACTGATTTGTTTGTATGGCAAGAAGCTCACAGTCATAGATTTGTGTTTACTTGCATCTTACAGATTATCCTGGTTTTCGTTTATCGACCAGAGGCAGGTAAATGTAATAAATTTGGACATACCAACCAAATCGTGTTGATATGCTGCAAACGCCAAAGCAGCTGATGATCCAGGATAGCTTAAAAAAGATTAATATAATTATCATTTGAGAGTTTTGCAGAACCAGCACCACTTGATGTGCATATGGAAATACTAATTTATGGCCTTGTAGTTCTATCCATCCATTATCTTTATCTGCTCCTTCCTTTTTGGTTTGCGGGGTCACTGGTGCCCATATCCAGTGGGCACGGTGTGAGAGGCAGGGTACACCCAGGACAGGTCGCAAGTCGACAAACGACACAATCACTCTCTCACTCGCACCTAGGGACAATTTAGAGTTACCGATCAGCCTAACATGCAGGTTTTTGATCTGTGGGAGGAAACTGGAGTACCCATAGAAAACCCACACATGCACGGAGAGAACATGCAATCTCCACCCAGAAAGGTCCCAGGCCGGAATTTGAACCGGCAACCTTCTCGCTGAGAGGCAACAGCTCTACCAACTTCGCCACAGTGCTGCACTTTGCAGTTCTGCACAACGGCTAATAAAATGATAAAAATAGTGGCATTAATTGGTCAAATAAGAAACTATGGTATGTTTCAACACGCCTACCACGTAGATTGGGTCACTCCATGGTAAGTTTGACCTCTGTTCGTAAAGGTTAACTTATGTAAATAAGATAGGCTACTTGTGCAAGAATTAGCATTTTGAAGAGAGGGCATAAAGTGTTAACGTAAAATATTTACATTACTGTAAATTTCGACCGATAACTCGTTTAATGTGGCTTAAAAATTTATTCGCAGTTGATATGCGTTCATAGCTATTGGATTGTGAAAACAAAAAAAAAATTCAAAAAGTTTTGTGCTATGTGTCATGCTAGCAAAGGGACATCTTACCTGTTAGCACCTTGAAAAAATTATGGGTCTGCTGTTATTGGCTAAAAAAAGTAGCATGATATGACATCACCACAAAAGAACCGCCCATTTAGCTCATTTTCTAGACAGCCTATTGGTTAACCATGGCCATGCACCACGTGACTATCGGTGGGGGCTATGTAGCCACGCCCCCTAACTAGCTATTTCTTGTAGTATGGAAAAAATCCACTCAAGAGTTCAAATATTACATACAATTTTGAAACTACACAATGAAACACATCAGGTGGACAAACTTAAACGATGCTGGTGGTATAAGTGCAAGAATATTAAGTTATATAGTTTTTGAGATGGGAAGCCTCCTATTGGTCAGTTTGTGCAGTATGCAAACGAGGTGGGTACGTCAGTTCCTGAACTTGAGCGCCATTTTTTTTCTCAACTGGGAAAGAAAGGGACAAAAGCTAGACCAAAAAGGCATAACTTACCTTCGGAGTCCGGCTGCTGTCCTCACGGTTCGTATTTACCTTCAGTCTTCAAGCTGCGGTGGGTGTAGCCGCAGGATGGCGCGCCGGTGAGTGTCGGTGCGCAGCGCTCGGAGCACACGCAGTTCGCCGACACGCAGTTGACGCGGGCGGGTGGAAGAGTGGTGGACGCTAGCTCTGCCGGAGGTGGCACAGCGACGACTAATGACTTAATCTGCGCGGAGAAATCAACGAGGTAAACATGTGCGAGGAGGCTGAGGGTATCCTCTGACAGGAAGATGCGCTCTGACCGGCTTAGTGACCCGGCATGTGGCCATCATCGAGTCAATGACGGTCTGATCTGTTAGCATGGAGGGCGATAGAGTAACCATGCGTTTAATAACACGTTTTTTTTGCTTGCGTGAGATCCGTGTGAAACATTTTACTTTGCAGGATTTTATTTTCAGCATTTGTGACAAAGATTTTTTTTTAAAGTGGTTTCAATGAAATCTTTTTAGATTTTTATGGTCCTATAAATGTAGTTAAAACTAAATTTTTATGACCATAATTAACATTTTTAGCCCTCTGAAAGAATTAAATGGTTTTGCTCATTTAACACTATGCTCCATTTATTTTATGCCAAAACTTGTTTAAAGCCACAATTAAAAATTAAATAGTAAAATGAGTCAGAATGAGCACAAGCTTCAGTGCAATTAAAATAAAAATGTTTATTTTTGTCAGTAGTTTTATGTAAATTAGTCCTGAAAAATAAAATGTAATCATCTTAATCTACTTTTAGATCAAAGTTTTCTAACAAACAAAAAAAGAAAAATATTTCCTCAGATATAGTACTTTGTCCTTAAGCTCTTATAATTCCCTTTGACTGTCTTTCTATTTTGGCTTCTTTGGTGCTCGGAAATCCTTTCGTATAAAGCAGATGTGTCCAATCTTGGTCCTGAGGTTCACCATCCTACATGGTTGACTTGTTTCCCTGCTCGATCACACCTGATTTGATGGTTGAATCGCCTCTGAATCAGTGTTGCCAGATCTCACAATAGAAACAAGCAACCGGCTCTATGAAAACAAGCCAAACTGGCAACCCACCACATTGTATAAAACAGAGGGCATTTTTTAACGGTATAAACATATATTATTATAGCATTATACATGAATAACAGCAAAATTATGCTAAACAATTTGAATAACATACTTTTAAGCTTTGATTAAAAAGAAAGAAAAAGCATTTTGTATATGCAATTTTTTTTTTCTACACATATTTTTAAAAACAAAATATCCTAACATCTGGGTGTGAGTGAAGCCCCCTAGTGGTCAGCCACAGTATGAGTGTTTGGGGTGTGCACCCACAGATGTATTTGTATACGCCTGTGTGCACCTGGTCGCCTCGCCAACGTGGGCGGGAGCGATAAACAGGAAACGGGTGTGGAAGGGACAAACTACCTAGTACCACTCGTCTTTTGGTTTATTGTGTGGAGCTGGGAGATAATCAACTAGTTTCACTCGGAAAGAAAGTCAAGCCCAAATAAGCAACTTCATGTTCAAAACAAGCCCAAAAAAACCACAACCTGCGACTCACAAGATTTGCAAGCGACTTTAGAATAAACAAGCCCAAAGTCGCTTATAATAAACGGACTTGGCAACTATACTCTGAATGTTCTGCAGAAGCCTGTTAATCACCCGTTGATTTAAATCAGGTGTGCTGGAGCAGAGACGCCTCTAAAACATGCAGGATGGTGGCCCTGGAGGACCACAGTTGGACACCCCTGGTAGAATGTTTGGCACCATTGTGAAGCTTAAGGATTACCCCTTTATAAATGTAGGGCTGGAATTCCCCATGACATCATTCCAGACCAATTAAAGTTGAGTTTCAAACTGGCACTATCCGCCACAAAAACTCATTTGTTGCCAGGCCAAATTTCAATAAACTACATTTTCTAATCTTTTGAGATGGAGAATTTTACAATTATATTAACTCATAAAAAATAAAAATTCCAAACAAAATTTTTGATGAATGACATGTGCTCTTTTTTTTTTTTTTTTTTTTTCTCCAAGGATTTGTGGGAATCATGTATCAGCTTCCAGTTGGAAATGTTGAAAAGATTCGAAAAGCTCGTAAAGCCGTGAAAAACATCTTAAGTGAAATTGGCCTAGAAGACTGTCAGAATCTGCTGAAGGTATGCGTTTATTCTGGAACATGGTCGCAACTCATGTAATTTGGTCAGTTTGTCTTCTTTGTGTTTGGTGGTTTCTGCTGAAATTGCTCGCTGCTGTTAAGTGGGCAATAATGTTTGTTTGTCAAAAACTTTGAACTTCTGGACAAATTTTTAATGAAACTTGCAGAAAATAAGCACAGACTGCACATCTGCAACTGATTACCTTTTGGTGTCAACATGATCCAAGATGGCTGCCATGACCAATTGACCTTTAAAAATACATTTAATGTCTGTAACACAATAGATTTTATAAATATTGACCAAAACTTGGCGTGGAAGTAGTTGAGACTAATCCCACACATATTCTGAGCGCCAACAGATTGCTTAAGATATTGTTTTAAATTTTATTATTAATTATTTGCTGTCAATCCTGTCTGTTACCAAAAATTTTCATTAACCATTCATGGATTAAAGTTCTCCGTTGCTGCAACGATGTCCGTCATCTGTGAAATTGGGTTAAAAAAAAAAGTGTGTTTTGTTAAAACCATCCAGTCTAATAATGATACTGATGCTGCTTTTAACTAATGAAAAGAACTAGAGTCACTAGCTATGTTTATATGTGAAATTTTTTTTGACCGGATTAAAATGTTTTCAGATTAAATAATGCAAATGTAGCGTTTACATGGGCACAATCTGTTCATGACGAGCATTTACATGCAGCCGGCTTTGTTCTGAACAGAAGTGCAGACATGCACAGAGTGGTAAACTCTCCTTTAAAAAAACACACACAGAAGAAGAAGTACTTCCGGGATGAACGTAAACGAAGCTGAGCACCCAAAACCCGCGACAGTTTTTAATGACGGTGGAGACGTTACTGCGCTCCCTGATTGAGCTACAGGTAATACAGATCATTTTGAGCTCTTTCAAAGTTTCTAGTAGAAATGTTGTGTCACTCACCGACCAGTTTTGCTTCCCCGACATGCTAATATTATTAGCATTAGCCAGGCGGAAATGACGAAGTCGCACATGCGCAGTCAGGTCAGTTTTTCACCATCAGATAAAAACGAACAGGTCAGGTGTTTACATGCGCACCGTTTGGGTTATGAATTGGCGTAAACCACCCGTTTCGTTCTGATCACAAATTATTTCTGATCACGCTGAATAAACAAAAAAATAACCCGAATGGGGTGTTTACATGGCGCATTTTTATTCCGATCGGCCGTTTGAGCCGATTACTTATGTCCATGTAAACATAGCTACAGTTTGACCCAAACAGAACAGGGCGGGTCGCGCTGTTTGGTTCACTGAGCCCGGGTGTGAGCAGCAGAGAGAAACTGCAGGTAAAAGCTCACCTGCTGCAAGCCAAGGAGGACACCCCGCTACCTAGGGCTGGGTGATAATTTCATACGCAATATAAAATGAGACTAGATCGATATAAAACAATATAGTCTCATACCTACCTAGTTATAATTATACTTCAAACGCCAGTTTTTCTCCCAGTTTGCACCTTCACACTGCCCCTCCTCCTCTCCCTCACTGAATACAAACCCAGCCACCCCCCCCCCCACCCCACCCCCCCGCTGTGTAAGGGGGCGTTTGCACAGTACATATTTTAAGTGAAACCACACTTTCTTTCTGTGGTTCTGCTGTTCATTTACATGACACTAGTAGTCCCCCTTTTTGAATTTGGAGGTTTCTCAACCCACCTCAGAGTGGAGGTTTTCGGGAGGCCTCCCGCTGATAATGTAAACATCTCCTGCTGAGGTTTTGTGTTAAACCACATGCACGGACCGACGGCATATTTCTACCAACAACTGTTCTTTCGGAGCTAGTTTGGCTTTAGATTGTCAGATGAGGGGCAGAAAAATGATTTCTGTAGACAATGCTGAAAATAGTCCCGATGAAAGGTTGGAACTACGAATCTTTTTCACCATTTAAACAGCGGAGTGGAACCGTGAAGCTGCAGCTCCGAGTGTTTTTTCAGCCTGCTTCCTTGAAACTAGGGATGGGCGATAGATTGATATTTTAAAAATATCGAAATGATTTGAAACGCAATGTAAAATGAGACTATCGATTTTGGAGCACTTCATGCTTCCATCTGCTGAAAAGCTTTATGGAGATGAAGATTTCATTTTTCAGCACGACCTGGCACCTGCTCACAGTGCCAAAACCACTGGTAAACGGTTTACTGACCATGGTATTACTGTGCTCAATTGGCCTGCCAACTCTCCTGACCTGAACCCCATAGAGAACCTGTGGGATATTGTTAAGAGAAAGTTGAGAGGCGCAAGACCCAACACTCTGGATGAGCTTAAGGCTGCTATCGAAGCATCCTGGGCCTCCATAACACCTCAGCAGTGCCACAGGCTGATTGCCTCCATGCCACGCCGCATTGAAGCAGTTATTCATGCAAAAGGATTCCCGACCAAGTATTGAGTGCATAACTGAACATGATTATTTGAAGGTTGGCATTTTTTGTATTAAAAACACTTGTCTTTCATTGTTGGGATGAAATATGCTAATTTTTTTGGGACAGGCATTTTGGGTTTTCATGAGCTGTATGCCATAATCATCAGTATTAAAACAATTAAAGACCTGAAATATTTCAGTTGGTGTGCAATGAATCTGAAATATATGAAAGTTTCATTTTTATCATTACATTATGGAAAATAATGACCTTTATCACAATATGCTAATTTTTTTAGAAGGACCTGTAGTCTTATACTCTGCATAAAGTTAAATCAACCAGTTTTTTTCCCCAGTCTGTAGTCTTTCACACCACCCCTCCTCCCCTCTCCCTCATATGCAGATAGGTCTTTGTTGACTGACAGTGGGAGAACCACTTTAAATTACTGATAAGGAGTGAAAAATGATGGTGGCTGCTTCAACAAAGCTGCAAGGCTCCGTCTTGTGTCTGGAGAAGAAAAAACTAGCTATGCTTACATGCGCAGAATTCTTTGACCTGATTGAAATGTGTTCTGTTTGAATAATTCAAATGTGTTGTTTACATGGGCACAATCTGTTCATGACGAGCGTTTACATGCAGCGGGCTTTGTTCTGAACAGCAGTACTGACATGCGCAGAGTGGTAAACTCTCCTTAAAAAAACCACCGAAGAAGAAGTTCTACTTCCGGGTGAACATAAACAAACCTGAGCACCCAAAATGGACCCGCGACAGGTTTTAATGATGGTGGAGACGTTATTGCACTCCCTGACTGAGCTACAGGTAATAGAAATCATTTTGAGCTCTTTAAAAGTTTCTAGTAGAAATGTTGTGTTGCTCACCGACCAGTTGTACTTCCCTGACATGCTAATATTATTAGCGTTAGCCAGGCGGAAATGGCAAAGTCGCACATGCGCAGTCAGGTCAGCTTTTCACCATCAGATAAAAATGAACAGATCAAGCGTTTACATGCGCACCGATCGGGTTACGGATCGGCGTAAACCACCCGTTTCGTTCTGATCACAAATTATAACGGATCGCGCCGAATACACAAAAAATAACCCGAACTGAGTGTTTACATGACACACTTTTTATTCCGACCGGCCATTTGATCCGGTTACTTATGTCCATGTAAACATACCCATATAGTCTTATACTCTGTATAAAGTTAAATCAGCCATTATTTTTCCCCAGTCTGTAGTCTTTCACACCACCCCTCCTCCCCTCTCCCTCATATGCAGATAGGTCTTTGTTGACTGACAGTGGGAGAACCACTTTAAATTACTGATAAGGAGTGAAAAATGATGGTGGCTGCTTCAACAAAGCTGCAAGGCTCCGTCTTGTGTCTGGAGAAGAAAAAACTGACATGCATCTCAAACTTTGTTTACAGAGTGGTGCATTCAAGAGCATAGGAACTTTTAAATTCAGAAAGAAACGAGCCGTAATCAAACGGAACCGAGCTCAGTGAACAAGCCAACTACTCAACAATGTGGGCTTTCTAACAGCATTGTTAATAAAAGTTGAATGTAAATACTTCATTAGAATCAGACTTTTTAAAGAGCAAGTCACCCTTTCATTATGTTTGCTCTGTATGTGTTGTGTTTAAATTTTAAGCGCACAAGATGTTTTTGGTTTTGTTATGCAGGGGAAAAAAAAAACATTTTATTTTTGAGACATTTATTTTGTAGAGTTACAGCTGTTTATTAATAAAGGTGCCTGTGTGACAATTGGGACAAAGCTTTGACTCAGAAATATATTTTTGTTACTACTTTATGGAAATAAAAAACTATTGAGATATATATTGTATATCGCCATTTATCTTAAGTATCGAGATACTCATTTTGGTCCATATCGCCAAGTTCTACTTGAAACAAACCACGGGTCAGAGCTCATTTAGCCATACTGAGCCTCATCAGAGAAACAAAGAGAGGTGGCGACATTAATAAATCAGCAGTTTATCATATCACTAAAGACACGGTCCTTAGCTGCTAACAAGACGGCTAACGCGATAAAGCCGTGTTCTTGTTCCGTGTTTACTTGTGCTAAACTTCCCGGCCTCCTGGAGAAGCAGGAAGCGGGGCGAGCGTGCATGGGTGAGGGGCTGGTTTTGTTTGTATTCGGTGAGGGAGATGGAGGGGCCGCGTGCAGCAGTTGGTGCAGACGGGGAGAAAAAAAACTACCGGTTCACAGATTTTCAAGTCTAATTATAATTGATATAGACGATATAGTCCCATCTTATATCGCATGTGAAATTATCTCAATATTTTTCAAATATCGAGATATCGCTCAGCCCTACTCTGATGTAGACGATTAATAATTTATGACATGTCATCACCTTCATGAAGGGGCAGGCGGTTCTGTTAGGGTAGCAGTAGTGCTGGGCGATATGGACCAAAATTAATATCGTTATTTTTAAGATGAATGGCGATATATGATAAATATTAAAAAAAAATTCTTAGGGGTGGGCAATATGGCTCAAATATAATGTCATATTTTAGAGCATTCTGACAATAACGATAAATTTTGTGATGTAACAAAAAAACAGAACTCATGCTTATTCATTTGACAAAATTAACTT